CTGAGCAACAAACTTTCGCACGCTCAGCACCTGGGCGAGGTCACATGGACCCCCAAGAACTGGCACGGGCTGCAGATGCAGCGCTTGTCTGTCGTCCTCCACAACCGCCGTGGCGTGGCAGACGGTGAACGAGCTACCGTGCGGGGAGAGCGGCATTGTGCATGGTGCGGAGTGCATTGCCGTTCTTAACGGAGTCGCTTAGGCGGCTCCGGTGGTGAGCCTGTGTGTGTGCCAGTCCGCGCCAGTCTGCGCCCTTGTCGTGCCAGTGTGCTGTGAGAGAGGCTTGCATTTTCAGAATTCTTTTTCGGAATCTCCACCAATGTGCAACAGCCGCCTACTTCTCCTCTCCGCCATCGCTGCGCCGGCGCGAGGGCTCGCCATAGCCGCGAGCCCCGCGGGCGCGTGGTGGCCCGCGGCTGGCGCGGATGCCGGGGCGGCGCCTGGTTTGGGCGCCGGGCGCGCAGCGGCGGTGCCCGCAGCGAGCCGAGATGACTGGGAGGAGGGCTCATACTCTGCGGCGATCGTCGCCTGCGCCGACTCGGGTGACTGGGAGTCGGCGTGCAGCCTGCTCCGCGAGATGGACGGCGCAGGCTTCCGCATCCAGGGGCGGCCGCTCACCGCTGCGCTGCGAGCGACGGCGGCTGCGGGCGAGTGGGGCGCCGCGATGTCGCTGCGGCGGACGGCGCAGGAGCGGGGCGTGGCACTGTCGCGCGCAGGGTACGCGCACCTCATCGGCCTCGCCGTCGACTCGGGCCGCGACGACGACGCCGCGCGCCTCTACGCGGCCGCCGCCGGGGAGCGAAAGTTTAGTCACTGGCGTGACGACGAGCCGCTCACACTTGACTTGCACGACATGAGCACGGCGGTGGCGGCGACGGCGGTGCGCCACGCGCTGTCGCACGAGGTCGGGAACTACTTGCACGCGGACCTGCGCATCGTCACGGGGTCCGGCAAGCACTCCCCTGGGGCAGCGCCGCGGCTGTTGCCCAGGTGACTCTCTCTCTCTCTCTCTCTCTCTCTCTCGCGCGCGCGCGCGCGCGCGCGCGCGCGCGAGAGAGAGAGAGAGAGAGAGAGAGAGAGAGAGAGAGTCACCTGGGCAACAGCCGCGGCGCTGCCCCAGGGGAGTGCTTGCCGGACCCCGTGACGATGCGCAGGTCCGCGTGCAAGTAGTTCCCGACCTCGTGCGACAGCGCGTGGCGCACCGCCGTCGCCGCCACCGCCGTGCTCATGTCGTGCAAGTCAAGTGTGAGCGGCTCGTCGTCACGCCAGTGACTAAACTTTCGCTCCCCGGCGGCGGCCGCGTAGAGGCGCGCGGCGTCGTCGTCGCGGCCCGAGTCGACGGCGAGGCCGATGAGGTGCGCGTACCCTGCGCGCGACAGTGCCACGCCCCGCTCCTGCGCCGTCCGCCGCAGCGACATCGCGGCGCCCCACTCGCCCGCAGCCGCCGTCGCTCGCAGCGCAGCGGTGAGCGGCCGCCCCTGGATGCGGAAGCCTGCGCCGTCCATCTCGCGGAGCAGGCTGCACGCCGACTCCCAGTCACCCGAGTCGGCGCAGGCGACGATCGCCGCAGAGTATGAGCCCTCCTCCCAGTCATCTCGGCTCGCTGCGGGCACCGCCGCTGCGCGCCCGGCGCCCAAACCAGGCGCCGCCCCGGCATCCGCGCCAGCCGCGGGCCACCACGCGCCCGCGGGGCTCGCGGCTATGGCGAGCCCTCGCGCCGGCGCAGCGATGGCGGAGAGGAGAAGTAGGCGGCTGTTGCACATTGGTGGAGATTCCGAAAAAGAATTTATGCAACGCATCTCTCGCCAGCACACAGGCTCCGCGCGGCGATGCGCCCTCCCCCCTCGCTTTTGCAAAATCCTGCAAAGGTGGGGACGTGTCTGTCCTCGACCCAGCCCTAGCTTGGGATGTCCGTTGTATTTATTTATTTATTTATACACAGGCTCGAAGACATTTTGAACGAGTGGGCGGGCACGCCGAAGAAGCGGCACCGGCGGCACGCCGGGATGAATCCGCACCGATCCCATTGTTCGGCACCGCGACGGCGAGCCGCCGCGGGCCCACAGGAGGGCTCGGAGCCGCGGCACCGGTCCGCGCCGCCAGCGGGGCGAGAGCACCAGCCTACAACCTGCCCGGGGGGCCGGGCCTGGGCCGACATGGCAGTTGCGACGGCGCTTTCACACACACACACACACACACACACACACACACACGCGCACGCACGCACACACA